TTTAGCCACTCTTAACCGTCTCTCATCAGTCTTGTCTCTGATCCACCTAGCTATTTGCAGAGGAGTGACATGATCAGATTTACATGTTTAAAATATGGCTTTAGCAGCAAAAGGAGGATGGATGGAAGAGAGGAGTATGGAATCTGGGATGCCGACCTAGTGATTACCAAGTGTGAAGGGGCTGACACCTGCTTTGTACCCAGCCTTCTCCTCCTGGGATGTGTACTTTGTGGATAGTTTAAGAGACTTTCGCATCCCTTAGGTGCCTCTCTCATCTGTCAGTCTTGTGTTCCCATCTGTTCTGCATCCCCTGGACTTCTTTGTTGGCATTCCTGGGCTTCTCTGTTATCATTCCCATCCTCCAGATTTTCTCCATCGTCATCCCTGCCCCCACTATCTCATCTGTTACCTCCTGTTCCCGTTGTTGACCTCTCTTCCCAGGCCTCTATGTCATGCCGTTTCAGGGCATGGTAGAAGCCCCAACTATATGAGTCACCATCTGAATCAGGGATTCAGGAGTATGGACCATGCCTGAGTTTATCCATGAACAGCAGGTGGACTCTATAGGCCTGACCTCCCCTTGAGAGGTAAACTACAGCTTGGCCTCTCATCTCTTTTCGCTCCATACCTACCTTCCCATTCTTGCCCAGGGTCTTGTTCTGCCTACCCACCACCCCTATGGTGAACACACTGCCAGGTTCACCATCAGACCTCTCCCCTGACGGATGCCCAACAGTTGGGATGCCTGCCATATCCCTTCTGTAACCTTCCCCTGCAGAGCCACTCAGCCCAGCCACCCACCTCTGAGCAGAGCAAGCCAAGCTAGGCTTCGCCTTGGCCTCCCAGCCCTTTCCTGTAAATGCACTCACAGCCAGGAGGGGTGCCATATTAAATCAAGACTGATGGAAACCAGTGACTGCGATTATCCAGCCAAGATGCAGCATGGGAAGCTGGTTGCTGCCGGCTCCAGGTGAGGGCTTCTGAAGCTAATTGTGTGTGGCTTTTATTAAGAAGATGCTCACTCCCCCACTCCTGCTCTCCTGGGTGGCTCTCTTACAATGCCTCTCTCAGCTCAGGCCCTCTGCTTCTGCAGGCTGAATTCCTGCCTTATCTTCTCCTTTAGTGGATCCCTATCCAAGCAGAGCCTTGAACTCAGTCTTATAGCCTTCCTCCCCATCTCCTCAAAGAGACAGGAACCATAGTAGCCTGTATTTATGGAGCCCTTAGCAAGCTCCTTCTCCCATCCGTCTATCTCCTCTCCTCCAAAGAGAATATATACATATCAGGTATTTTCCTTCTCTAGTTTACTCCACTGGCTAACCTTCACAAGGCTGGGCACATGGCTCATGCCTTTAAAAGTCATTCATTCATTTAATGTGTTGTTTAGTACAAACTCTGTACTAAGCACTGTGAAAAGAGCATGAAGCATAATTTTCACAGCAGGCATCAATTCCAGTGTCTTACACATTTTTATCAAGAAGTCTGATCGATTTTCCAGGGTTTTTCTGAATTTTCATAGATATTTGGGATTCCAGCCTGGGAAGAATCACAATGTGCTAAGATTTAGGCCATAGTTTGAACCTTTCCCAAGACCATCTAGAAAGCTCCTGGAAAACTAACCAGTTCATGGTGTAACTCCCCACACCACCTGTCACATCCATAGAAGTCAAGGACTCTTTCTCTTTTCCTTTGCCCAGTAAATGTTTCCTCTTTTTTTTTTTTTTTTTTTTTTTTGTGAAACAGGGTCTCCCTGTGTCACCCAGGCTGGAGTGTAGTGGCATAATTTCAGCTCACTGCAACCTCCGCCTCCCGGGTTCAAGCAGTTCTGCCTCAGCCTCCCAAGTAGCTGGGATTACAGGCGCCCACCACTATGCCAGGCTAAATTTTGTATTTCTAGTACAGAAATACAGGGGTTTCACAATGTTAGTCAGGGTGGTGTCAAACTCCTGACCTCAGTTGATCTGCCTGCCTCGGCCTCCCAAAGTGCTAGGACTACAGGCATGAGCCACCGCACCCAGCCTTGCCCAGTAAATAAACAGAAATATCAAACAACCTGAAACCATGACACTGAAGAAGAGTTACAGGAAGTAGAAGTGTTTCCCTAGAGAAGACGTAGGGAGGCCATAATGGTCATACCTGAATCAACAAAGTGGAAAGAAAAGTTATGTTAGACTTTGCCTGTAGCAAAGGGAAAAGATATGTTCTGTGAGGCCCCACAGGCCAATGGATGGAAAGTACCCAGAAGTGGAATTCTCTCTCATGTAAGGGAGACTGACAGTAGAGATGAGCCACGTCAGGCACTGGATGCACCTCCAGAGCCGGGCAAGCATTGAGACTGCATACTGCAGACCTAGGGTTCCTAGAGAAGGAGCCCCGAGAACCACTTCTCGGCAGTGGTAGCAACCGAGTTTACTTGGCTCCTGCCTTCTGCTTGAGCAGAGTAACTCTTCTTTATCTGTGGAATTCCACCCACAGGTAAATTAATTAAAGGATTCCAGTACCAAAAACAAAAAAGGACTGGATTAGACAATCTGTTATTAAAATGCAGTGAAGGAGAAGGAGGGTGACATCTGTCAAAGGCTTAATAAAGGTTAGGTATGAGGTAGCCATTTTGGTCACTCAGACTGCCTCTTACTTAATGCTATGTGCCAGAGACTTGCTAAGAACTTCTATATTAATCCATTATCTCATTTAATCCTCACTGGCATTCCACAAGGATCCTACAAGCCAGAACTATGAGTACTACCCTGCATTCTAATGAGGAAAACTAAGATTCTAGGAGGCTAACTTCCCCAAAATTAGCTAACCAGGGAGTAAATAAGGTTGAGGGGTGAACTCAGGTCTGTCTGGAGCAAAGCATGTTTTTCTACTCAATTTGCCTTACTATAAGCCAAAAGAAGAGCCAAACTTCAGATGGAGATAGCCGAAGAATGAAAGCAGATGCTGTGTATCAGGTGCTGAGTACAGTGCCTGGCATACAGCAGCCATTCCACAAACGGTAGTCACCTTTATTCAGTTAGCAACACAAATTGATGCCTGCTGTGAGCCAGGCCCTTTGCTAGGTGCTGGAACTATAGAGATGAATAAACCTGGTCTTGTAACCACTGACCTCATGGTGCAGGAAGGAGAGACAAACAGGAAGTTATTTAAGTGCACCAGAGGTCCCAAGGCCTCGAATAGGCACACAGCCTTACAACAGACTCCCTAGACAGTACCATGTTGGAGGATGGTGGGAAGAGAGAAGATCTTTGTGGTGGGGTAATAGTGTCAGCAAAGGCCCAGAGGCAGGCGTATTCTGGGACTCATCACTGAAGGGAAGTGAGGAAACTGACCCAACAAACCCCTGCATGCCAGCTTCCATCCTTTCAGGCTCCTTCCATGACCTCCCGACTGCAAGCTGGCACTGTCCCAGCCAATATGTGTGCATCTCACCATCAGAGCCTCCAGCCCAGTGGACCTAAGTGCTGAGTGGGGCTGGGTGGGCAGGGAGGAGGAAAAAGCAGATCTGTAGCTGAAGTCGGCAGAGCCAAGTGATGTATGTGGCGCCTGAGGGAGCTACACAGTGACACTCTGGATTCCAACCGGCAAGTGTCACTCCATTGGGAATGGCACCGAATTATTGCTCCATATGAAACCCCAGGACTGATGGGAGCTTTCAGTTACAGACTGATAGCAACAGCCAAAATTGGATTGTTTGCTATTTATTTTTTTTTAACTTCTGTCAAGGTCACTACTGTAACAGGAAAACACTGCCCAAGCAGTAGGTATTTTTTATCCACTCTGCCCACAGGAGCAGTCTGCAACCACAAGTTTTGTGACAGGGCCTTACTTTGACAGCTCTCTTTCCAGAAAGATGTTAGTGTTACAGGCTTGGGGGAAAGGAGCCTCCTAAAGACCTGGTCATTCTTTTCCAGTTCAAGATCTGCTTCCTTCCCCTCCAGCTCCTAACTTCCACAAATACTCTACCATCAGGCCCCTGCCCTCGCCCCTCCCTGCCTGTTTTCCAGACAGTCCCACAGGTCCCTCCTGGCCCAGTCCTCCTCCAGCTTCTCCAAGCCTCCTGTTCCCCAAAAAGCCCTCCAATGGATGTTCCACACTTTTGTGTCCTTCCTTTCTCTATTCCTACACTACCGCCCCATCTAGCTGTTCATTCTCTCCTCTTTGTATCTGTCACTTTTGCAAACACTCACCAGATGCCCCACTGTGCCAGGACCCATGCTAGAAATAGCAGTGAGTCAAAGATAGGGACTGTCCTTGGGGAGCCCATAATTGATTTAGAGGACAGACTTACAGACATTCGCCAAATTTGTTTTCAAGTAGGATTTTGTGTTTTTTGGTGAAAGATACAGTGCTAGAGATAAACATTCATGCTTTGAACCCTTGAGGAAAATGGTCGTGAAGTATTTGTGTGCAGGCCATGCCTGTCACCTGACTTTGAGCTGCCTGAGGGCAAGCCCCAACCCTACTCTTCTGTGTGGGGCGACCAAGCCCAGGCTTCTCCTGCTGCCCATAGCTCTCTTTTGAACAACAACAAGTTTTTCAAGACGAAAGAGAAAGGAATTTATACTTAGTAAGCACTTACTCCATGCCAAGCATGATGCTAGGCCTATTACATACATCATCATATTAATATTTAATCCCCAATTTGCTGATGCTGATGAGAAAACTGAGGTGAAATAACTTGCTATAGGTGATAAGCACATCTTGTAAGTGAGAAAGCTGGGATTGCACCCAGGTCTTCTGTCAGCCTCCAGAGCCAGGGTTAATCTGCTAGCAGTACTTATTCTACCAGCAGAGTGAGCCGAGACCCCTGAGTGGCAGCCACCTGAGCAGAGAGTGCGAAGGGCTGGACCAGCAGCCCCCAGTGACCATGAGCCACAGCTATGAAGGAGGACCCCTGGAAACCCAGACCTGTGTTTTCCCCCTGAGTTGGGGGATAGAATGAAGCTATGGTACTATGGACCCGGCAGCCCTGAACCATTTGCCCTCTCTCCCCACAGCACCAAGAGAAGCAGCGAAAGCGTGAGGCTGAGGAGCGGCGCCGCTTCCCCCTGGAGCAGCGACTGAAGGAGCACATCATTGGCCAGGAGAGCGCCATCGCCACAGTGGGTGCTGGTGAGTGTGTGAGACCCCAGAAAGGGCAGCAGGCATGCTCTGCTGCAGTGAGGTGTACATCCTGTTGACACCAAACTGGATAGGTGCAGTGAGTAATATTAAAAGTTAGCATTTGTTGAGTCCTACCTATATGCCAGACATTGTTATAAGCTCTCTGCATGTCATGTCATTTAATCCTTATAGCAATCCTCTGAGGTTGGTACCGCTAAATCATTTTACAGATGAGAAAGCTGAGACACAGAATATCTAAATCACTTGCTCGAGGCTGCTTTCCTATGCATAGAATTTAAATCTGACCTTCACCTGGTGGTCTGCTATCCTCAACCCCATTTTCTTTTTTTTTTTTGGAGATAGAGTCTTTCTGTTGCCCAGGCTGGAATGCAGTGGCACTCTCTTGGCTCACTGCAACCTCTGCCTCCTGGGTTCAAGCAATTCTCTGCCTCAGCCTCCCCAGTAGCTGGGATTACAGGCACCCGCTACCACGCCCGGCTAATTTTTGTATTTTTAGTGGAGACAGGGTTTCACCATCTTGGCCAGGCTGGTCTTGAACTTGTGATTCACCCATCTCAGCCTCCCAAAGTGCTGGGATTACAGATGTGAGCCACTGCACCTGGCCTCAACCCGTTTTACAAGTGGGAGAATTGAGATCCAGAGAGGGGTAGGAGCTTGTCTGTCACTAGCAACGTAGCAGCTGAGCCAGAACTTATGTCCCCATCTGAGACTCTGCTATCACTTCCAGATAGTTTGTCAGCAGCTGGCCCAATGTTACACAAAATACCCTGAACAACTTTTGAGTCTTCTCTACCCCTGAAGCTCTTATTTCCATACTTTGACCCCTGGGAGCCAGACTGCCCTCTGGTATAACCCCTAATGTAATGACCCTCCTGCTTGTGCAAATCCCACTAGCAGATAATTAAAACTAAGGTCTGCTGAATACAGTGGCCTCATATTTGTTCTCTGACTCTGGAGTGCCATTCCTCGGGCTTGATTTCAGATAGATGAGGCAAGGGAAGAGGAACCATGGGCCAGGCCAAGACAAAGGTGCATCTGCCAACACAGTGGTTCTAAAAGCATGGTCTCTGGACCAGTGGCATCACTATCTTTTGGGAACCTGTTAAAAATCAGATCTCAGGCTCATCCCACACCTGTGGAATCAAACATTCTGGGATCTGTGTGTTAACAGGCCCTCCAGGTGATTCTTACACTCAGCTGAAGTTTAAAATACCACTGCCCCAGGAAGACTCTACCTGGTCGTGTGGTATGCCTGGATTATGGGGTTGGTGCTTTTAAACCTCCATTGTAAGGAAGTTACTGCATCCACCTTGCTGAGAAGCCCTGCAGCTGGGAATCATAATGGTAATGTTCACAGCCATGCTCAGTCCTTGTGACCAGCTCCCAGAGGCTTCTAAACCCAAGCATGAGGGAATAAGGCAGCCTGGTGATTGCAGCTGCCAGCAGCCCAGCTGAAGCATGAAACACTCTCTGGGTCAGAACTTATAGTAGGCAAGCAGCACCCAGCACCTCAGGACCTCAAGCTGAAGCAGGTCCAGGAGAGTGAGGTGGATCTAGAGACTACACCAGGCCTCCCTGAGTTCTCTAAGCTAGTGTCACATGTGTGCTAGGGACTGGCTGGATGGAGCTTGGCACCCCATGGGTACCATGAGGATGGGCAGCCAGAGAAGTGCCGCAGAATGAATTGATTTGATAAATGGCCATTTATTACCCTCACGAATTGGCTGAAACCAATTTTGGTCACATCAACCCCTGGTAAGTGCTGGGATATTGATTTGTGCAAAGTAATACAGTGAATTTATCAGTGTGATCCCCAGCTGCAGGACCTCTAGCAAGGCTGGCGCACAGTTACCACCTTATAAATGGAGGAGATAAAGTGTCAGCCCCACAGCCCAGGCCCTCATGGCCTCTCTGGTCTAGGGCCACTGGAGCCAAACCAGGACAACCTGCAAGCCAGAGCTTTGGCATTGAAAATGAGGCTCTCCTTCCAGAATCCAGAGTTGCTCTCGGTCACAAGGAAAGGCAGCTCCTACCCTGTTGGACAGACCTCCTGGGAGCTCAGCACCTCTAAGCCCCACCATTCTTCTCAGAAAGGCAACCAGCTGTCTATTCAGGACATTCAGAACCAGACTCCTCCCCCTCCCCAGGCTGCCCATCTCCTGTGTTGCCATCTGTGTAGAGACCACCATTCACTGGACTCCTAAATAGAAACTCAGATGCTTCCTTGGCCCCTCCTGTGCCCTCCCCCTTTACAGCCCATGAAGGATTGAGCACCTGGCCTTTCTGCTCTGTTCCTAATACCGCTGCCCTAACTCAGGGTGTCAGAGTCTCCCGTCTGAACCAGGCAGCCCCCTCACTGGTGTCCCTGCCTCCTTTCCTTCCCCTAGAATCAGTTCTCCTCACCAGCTGAGTGATCTTTGCAAAACACATATCTAACAGTGCCACTCCCCATTTAAAACCTTTGCCTGTTCCTTGCTGCCCTAACCTGGCATGCAGGCCTGCTGCTGCAGCTCCCTGCTTTGATGCATGCACCAGCCACAGTGGCCTGCCCCTGCCTCCTGTACATACTGTGTTGATTTCCTGCCTGCATTTGTCTGCCACCCTCTCTGCTTGCAGTCCTTTCCTTCTGGCCCTTCCCCACCCCACACCAACCCACACACTAGCTGGTTTTTACTTAGCCTAACTCAGCTCAGGAGCAACTGACTACAGGCTCCTTGAGGGGAGATAATGTGACTTAATCATTTTTATGCTTCCACTTCCTGGCACAGCATCCTGCTCAAAGTGGATGCTTAGTGCAGTTTGTCAAATTAAAGAATTTCGTCTGGTCCCTTGTCCATCTCCAGGGAATGGCCCCCATAGCCCAGGCCCTCATGGGCTCTAGGATGTGCCCCAAGGTAAAAAAGAGAAGCTGCAACACCTGCTCTCCAGTATCTCACAGCGTACTGGGAATATAACTATAGAATAGCTCATAACAGCCATACTTCTTGACCTTTGACCCCAGGGGTGGGCAGGCCATTCTCCAGACCTGCTCTAAGGAAGCCTCTCCTGGACAGCAGGTCAGCCTGCACATACCCTGCAGCTTTCTTGGAACTCCTTCTGACCTGGTCCCAGTTGACCCTCTGAAGTCACTCACTCCCCCGGGGAAGCTCTGCCACCTCACATGTTCTGCTCTGCCAGAGTATGGCGCATATTGTATATTACAGAAGGATTGCATATAGCCACCAGGGCTCACCACCAGATCTCATGTTTCACTTCCCTCTTTGACCAGTCCAAAAACGTGATCTTCCCAAGCTCTGTACTTTTCTGAACCTTCCATCCAGATCATCCCTGGGTTGTGAAGTTGCAGTGATTTTTTTTTTTTTTTTATACATAGTCTAGCACTGACACCCAGGCTGGAGTGCAATGGTGCAGTCTCTGCCTCCCAAGTTCAAATGCTTCTCCTGCGTCAGCTTCCCAAGTAGCTGGGATTACAGGTGCCCACCACCATGCCCAGCTAATTTTTGTATTTTTAGTAGAAATGATGAGGTTTCACCATGTTGGCCAAGTTGGTCTTGAACCCCTGACCTCATGATCTGCCTGCCTCAGCCTTCCAAAGTGCTGGGATTACAGGCGTGAGCCATCACGACCGGCCCAGAGTTGTTGTGATAAGCTTAAAAAACTGCTTGTAGTTCCACCCCACATCATGCTACTTCTGAAGTAGCATGCTGTGTTTTCTGGTTGCCTAGACTGCCCCGCCCTTCCACGTTGCCTGTTGAGACATTCAAAACCTTGGTCTTTTGTTGTACATTTAAAAATAACTGAAAGAGTTTAATTGGAATGTTTGAAACACAAAGAAATAATAAATGCCTGAGGTGATGGATGCCTTATTTACCTTGATGTGATTATTTCGGATTGTATGCCTGTATCAGAATATCTCATGTACCCCACAAATACGTACACCTACATGTACCCATTTAAAAAAGAAAAGACCGGCCAGGTGCAGTGGCTCACACCTGTAATCCCAGCACTTTGCAAGGCTGAGGTGGGCGGATCACAAGGTCAGGTCAAGTGTTTGAGACCAGCCTGGCCAATATGGTGACACCCCATCTATACTAAAAATATAAAGATTAGGCCTGGCTAATATATAATAAAAATATAAAGAGTAGGTGGCATGTGCCTGTAGTCCCAGCTACTTGGGAGGCTGAGGCAGGAGAATCATTTGAATCCCTTGAGGCAGGGGAATCACTTGAACCCAGGAGGCAGAGGTTGCAGTGAGCTGAGATCATGCCACTGCACTCCAGCATGGGCAACAGAGTGAGACTCCATCTCAAAAAAAAAAAAATGGAAAGGAAAGACCTAGGCCTTCTGCAGGTTGCCCTCCTCAGTCCTCCTGGGTTTAGGGCCTTTCCCTGGGATTCCTGGGAACACCTTTATCACGTGGTATCTACTATGTTTGTATGTCTTTCTCCCTCCAAAAGTCCAGAACTACTGCACACCAGCTCTTTTTCTCTAGGGTTGGGCACACAGGGATATAAAAAGTTGTTGAACTCAGTGAATGAAGCCTGAACCCACTGTGACATTCCGCCACTCCCCCCAACACAGATTCTCATCTCAGCCTCTTTCTGGAAGAGGGCACTGCTCTTCTCTCAGGCAGTCCCTACTCCCGTGTGTGTGTGTGTGTGTGTGTGTGTGTGTGTGTGTGTGGTCTTGTCACAAGCTACTCATTGTATTTTTAAGATGTTAACCCCTTGGCAGCAATAGTTTGCCTGCAGAAAGAATAATCCTTACTAAGGACTAAGTAGAGAGCTGCTTTTTCATGATCCACCAAACCCTAGGCACCAGTCTCCACTCAGTAGGCACCTGTCGAGTACTTACCATGTTCCTTGAACCTACAAGCAGTCATCAGGAAACTGCTGATAAACATTTGTATGACTCTCAACTATGAGAGTCCCTCTGAAGGACTAGTTCCCCTAGGAGATGCCAAAGACTTGTGACAAACATGTTCCAGATTAGGTTATAAAAAACCTCCCGCATTATATACCTGGCACCTATCAAGAAAGGTGAGTGAGCCTACCCAGACTGCCCCAGAACCTTGAGCTGTACAGAAACAAAGACTTGGGGTGGAAGGAGGAGGCCACTCTTGCCTTTTTGGCACACACTAGGGCCTTCTTCCTGGAATGTCCTGCCATAACCTGCAGCTGGCTGGCAATCTCCCTCTCACCCTTCAAGTACGAATGTCAGACTGGCACAAATGGCTCTTCCCATACTTCCCTCTGTGCACCCATCCCATTTAGAGCCCACAGTTTTCATAGCAGCATTTACCTCTATGGCAAGCACCTTGTTTGAGGCCTCTTTGTGGGTGTCCCTGCACCTAGCACAGAGCTTGTTTGCTAAACAAATGCATAAGGCTTCCTGGAGAGGGATTTAGAAGAAAGTGGAAGCCTTTTTCACCCAAGGGTGGTAGTAACCACCTGGAGCACTAAGAGACTCAAGTCTAGGCCTTACTCTTCTCCTCTGTAAGATGAGAGTTGAGGTATCTGTTCTTTCCCCCTTGCAATTTTAGAAAGACCAATAATTCATTTAGTCAGCAAATATTAAACCAGTGTTGGATTAGTCTCAGGGGTCCCTCAGAAAATAGGACACCCAGGACACCTAGCACCTGCTCACATGGAATACAGTCAGATTGGAGGCACACCCTCTCCCCTAGATACAAGGGCACAGGTAGATGAAACACCTTATACTGCCCCTCTCTGAGCCTCAGTGTTCTGTGTAAAATGGAGATAACACCTACTTCTCAGGATTATTAAAAGGATGAAAGAATTACTGTAAAATACCAAAGCTATGGTAACTGCCATTGCTGCTGCTATGACTACCATTATTTTTACTCTTATTGTTATCCCACTTGTTGCCACTTACAAATTGCTTTCATCACCATTAACTTGTTTGATCTGCATGTGGGGCTGACACAGCATATGTGACTGTTCCCATTTTATAGATGAAGAAACTGAGGCTCCAAAGGAGTCAGTGTTTGGTTTGGTTTTGGTTTGTTTGTTTTTTTCTTCTCTGAGACAGAGTCTTGCTCTGTCTCCTAGGCTGGAGTGCAGTGGTGTGATCTCAGCTCACTGCAACCTCCTCCTCCTGGCTTCAACCAATTCTTCTGCCTCTACCCCTCAAGAAGCTGGGATTACAGGCATGCACCACCATACCCGGCTCATTTTTTCTTGTATTTTTAGTAAAGACAGGGTTTCACCATGTTAGCCAGGCCAATCTCGAACTCCTGACCTCGTGTTCTGCCCGCCTTGGCCTCCCAAAGTACTAGGATTACAGGTGTGAGCCACCACACCCAGCCGGGAATGAGTGTTTTATTTAAAGTCAGTCTACTGGTAAGTGACAAAGGCGGGACTCTGCATCAGATCGTATAACTCCTGCCCTCTCCACTATGCCACCCTGTAGATAAATGCATGCCAGAGAATACAGACCTGCAACTAAATGGCTAGATGTGGTGTGGTGGAATTAATCAAAAAGAGCTGTTGCAGGTGAGTTTTCAGATGGTCCAATAGTGACAAGCATGGCTAAGAGAAGGCAGAACACAAGCCAGGTGGGCACTGGCGCTATGTGCTAGAAGGCAGAGCATCCTGGCTGGAGCCTGTGGCGATGGGACTGGCCAGGGAAGGGAGCCAGGCTGCCTGTGCAGAAGCCCCTGATACTATCTCTAGCCCAAGAGCAGTGACCAGGACAGGGTCAGGGGACAAGGGCTCCTGAGGCCATGTGCTGAATGGCTGAGCAGGCCAGACTGGAAGACTACAGAGAACGTTTTCAGGGAGTCAGGGTATGAAAAGGTACCGTGGCAGCAGAAAGCCAGAGGAGGAGAGCCAACCTTCGTCCAAGCTCTCATAGTACAGCACAGGTTCAGGATCAGCCAGAGAGGAGGGTAAAGCCCAGGGTCTTTGTTTCTTCCCTCTGTAACCTTGAGCAGGTTATCTAACTTCTGTTTGTGTGTTTCTTCACCTATAAAATGAAAATCACGTCACCTGCTCTGCTTACCTTATAAAGCCATGACAAGGCTGAAATGAAATTATGTCTACAGAACTACTTTATAGACTATGAAGTGTTACAGAGTCTACCATAAATACATTTGCTGGCCACAATGAGAGCAACAGCACCTATGGCCACATCCCACATGGGCCCATCCAGTCTGTCCCAGCTTCTACTCTGGCCTGACGGCATCTTCAAGGCTCATAGCCTTGGTCCTCAGCCACCCTGTCAACCACACACACTGGAGCCCGCCTTCTCCTGTCCTTCCTAGCTGCCACCGTTTTTCATTCTGTCGGACTCCATCTGCTTGGTCGTTTTTCTCTTCAGATATTATTAGAAATATCCAGAGTTGTAATTGTTTAATGGTTGGCATTTCGCCTGTTTCACAGGGGACCCACATCAAGCTCACCTCAGACTCATGCCCTAGGTCGAGCAGAATTGACCAGGGACAGCTGTGCAGTGAAGTCTGCCTGGCATTATAAAGAGCTCTCTCCCAGGTGCATTCTTAGAAAAGAAAGGGGAACAATGGCCCCAGGCATAATTCAATTCCTCATTCTCCATGGTGTTTTCGTACTGCGCAGCCTGGCAGCGTGCAGCTCTCTGTGGGCTAGGATGCTACCTTAAAAGAAAAGGCAAGATAAGAACCCCAGGTACATGATACCCCAGAGAACCCTTGTAGGGGGATGTCTGGGTACATCTGCCTCCTCAAATATGCCACAAAGCTTGAACTCAGTTCATGCTCAACTTGTTTCCAACCTAGAGTCTCAATTTAGCCAACTTTTAGAAGAATGTGGCTCCTTTCAGGTGACACCTCTCATCCCTGCACCAAAACACATATAGACATGTCCATACATAGTATTCACAAGTCTAGCCTTTACCATTTTAATGTCTTCACTTCCTCAGATACCCACACTCAGCTCGCTGTTTCTGTCGGACACCGGGGACTCCCCACTTAGCCAAGCTTGCACTTGTCCCTCTTCATTCCCAGCATTAGGGTACCTATGAGGTCTGCAGGTTCCCCTTATAGCCAGCCCTTCCAGAGATCCTAGGCCAGTTAGTTTAGAGAAAATCTGGATTCTTTCCCAGGAGAGAGGTTGTACAGAGCTTTTTCTCAGGACTCTTTCAGGATTCTCAGGGAGCATTTTCTAGGCAGGCAGAAGTGGCTAATCTGATGTCTGTGAATTTGCATAGCTTCCATCTGTTTCTACTGAGGCCAGAAGTAGACAGAAAGTCGTATTGTAGGTAGGAACATTAGAGATTGAGATGAGAAAGACCAAAGACATGAAGCTGAACTCTTAAAACAGGTATTCCAGACCTTCACAGCCTGACCCCACCCCACCTCTGCTCATGGTCATTCCTGTCTCTGCACCTCTGTCATGCTGGCCACCTTTGCCTCTTCAAGTCCAGCCCATCCTCCATGATCCATCACCAGTCCTGCCTCTTCCAGAGATCCTTCCCAGACCTCTGCAGTCACTTCTTTGCAATCCAACCACACAGGATAGTAGTTTGGATCTTGGTAACTGAAGACTGGCAGACACATCCCAAACACTGTCAGATCTTTCTCCATTGACTACTGTTCCAGGCCTTGTCCTCTGACATCTATCCTTTGGCTAATCTACTCCCTGACATTCTGCAAAGCAGATCAGACATCCTGCTCCATCTGCAGAATGACCTTGACATTACATAGTGCTCATGTCTCTTTCCTGCTCCTGACTGCCCTGTTTCCATCAGTGCAACCCAAATTGATACTTTTTTGAGCAGCCTTATGTTACTTTTTAAAAAAAAAAAAAAAAAAGATGGGTTTAGAGAGAGAAGCAACTCTGCCACCTACTAGTTGTATGACTTGGGCAAGTCTCTATCTGTTGCCTCAGTTTTGTGCTCAGTATAATGGGTTGAAAATAATACTTTCCTCTGAGGGTATTTGTGCTGGTCTTGAATAGATACATTGTTGGTGAATTTTCCCATTGTGCCTAGGGTGTGCCTAGCGTGCAGCATGTTCAGTGCATGATTCTTCTTGCAGTTCTGCCTCGCTCCACCCCCACTCTTATACTTGGGCAATGTTTCTGAGCCTGATTCTCCTACTCCATAGTTAAGCACTTAGTTTCCTCAGCTTGAATGCATAGCCCTTGATTACATACTTCCTCTTGCAGAGGAGGTCATCTTGCTCTAGCAGAGTTGAGCCTCCAAGGAAACTGGTACAGATCTGTCCTACTCCCCACGCTCCCCACTCCCTCTGCCACTGGAGGCTATGGTTAGCATCTCTGGTAACCATGTGGCTTACCCCTTCCATGCCCCAAGCTCCACCTTGCGTTTGATTGGCTTCCAGAAAATGCATTTGGCTGCGTTTCTACTTCCTGACCCAGACGGTGGACGAGACCTTAGTTTACCCAGATAGGAGTCCAGGGCTCACACCCCACATCCCCAAGGGCCTGCCATGGGCTTCTGCCTCTTCCATTTGCATAGGAGGTGGCCTGTAGTCTCACTAGTGATGAGTAGATGAGTAACCAGTGAAAGCTGAAGTTCCTCTCAAATTCTCCTTCACCAGTCCCCCACCCCCTTCACCTCCATTCACCATCCACCCGCCTTTCAGTTTCCCTGGCAACGCTGAGTGCTCATCCTGGAAAACTTTATCCGAAATCTGCTCTGGGCAGCTTTCCAAATCCATTCTAACCTGATTAGGTGTCTCTAGGGGCCTTGCCAGCTAATCAGATTAGGCAGCACTAATGGTACTGAGGACTTTGAGTGGGCGCAGAGCAGTAAAACATATTGTATACTTAGTGATAATTATCCTGCCTTTTGTGTCATTGATTTATCTGCCTCCCTCCCTATCCCCCCGTCTTGTATGTTTGGACGTAGCGATCCGGAGGAAGGAGAATGGCTGGTATGATGAAGAACACCCTCTGGTCTTCCTCTTCTTGGGATCATCTGGAATAGGTAATTGGGAGCAGATCAGCCAGTGGGGATGGAGAGGTAGAGTAGTGCCCGGCCCAAGCCTGACAGCCCCAGCTGCTGTGGGCCAGGGTCAGCAGGTCTACCTCTAGGTCCACTTCCACCTCTAAAAACAACAGCCTCCAAATTACAGAGCCACCAAGAAAGAGGACTCTGTTACCATCTGTCAGGTTATGAAGAGCTGGAATTATGTCCCTCCCTCTGGAAGCTGTGGTGCTAAGACTGATTCACTTGGAGAACCAGGCCCTTCAGGGCCCATTAACCCTGGTCCAGCCACTTTACATCCACAGAGCCTCCCCTTTGAGAACAGTTGAACCATCTCCTCTGCCCAGCACACCAACCATGTTAAGTACAGCCTAGCTGTAAAAGCTAAAGAAGGCCCCTGATGATCAGCACAGTGCCAGGTGCATAGAAAACTTGGTTGCAGTAAGATGGGTTGAGTATTTTTCTAGCCAGTTAGGCTGGATTATCTGAGGCATTCTTAAACCCTCATTCTCTGCCCTGACAGACCCCCCACATACCTTCACTACTACCTCCCACCATGGTCTTGATGGGAAATTTCATGCTTTAATTGCCTCCTCTTCCCTTCCCAACATCTTCATGGGCCTTTCCCTCAGATGTAGGCCCCCAAGAGGCTACCACCAACCTGACCATGATGCTACAGAACTTGACTTTTATACTAGTCAGGGACTTCCAAAGGTTACCATTACACCAAATGGCCCTTCAAAGCCCCCACTTCAGCATTGTCATTCCTTCTCTATTTTACAAAGGACTGTGAAGCCACAGTGAAAAGTATTCGTCAGCCCCTCCCAGCATCTCTCTGGCATGTGGTTCCAGGGCCTGGCAAGAATGTGGACATTGAGAGGGATACATGGCAGTGAGCCAGGCAGTCCGGGTATGCCTAGGAGACGTGAGGTTTAAATTGGGCTTTAAAAGGCAAGCTGGTTCTGGATTATAAAGTCAGCCTCTCACTCTTAGGATGGTGCTACAGAGAAAAGGCCTCAATCTCCATCCCAGAAAAATTAAGATGCAGTGCACACTTAGATTCTGGTCCCAGCTGCACCATTAACTCCCTAAATGATTGTGGGAGAGTCATTGATAACTTTCTGCACCTCAACATTCTCATCCATAGAATATATTTTTTTCTAGTGTCCATGCATTTCTAGTATTCTTTCACTCCAGCGGATAGTCACCTGGTTCTAACCCAACACCTCTCCCTTCTTTCTTACTAGGAAAAACAGAGCTAGCCAAGCAGACAGCCAAATATATGCACAAAGATGCTAAAAAGGTAAGGACTGGGACCAAGGTCTGATCTGCAGATCATAGAGATGTCACCTCTTCTGCTATCCCAAAATGTCTGACTCTCTGAATTCAGCAATAGGGAATCAAAAAGATGGTCCCTGACCCAGGAAGCAGATTTCAGCTCTGGCCCCAACTTGGCCACCAATTGCTCCAGAGATTTGGGCACTTTTGTGCCTCAGTTTCTTCATCTGTAAAATAGGAATAATAATCCTTCCCCTGCCTGACTCTTGAGGGAACAAAGTGAGATCCAGCGTGCAACATTTTCAAGCATCTGTGCTGTGCCAGGTTTTGTACTGGATGCTGCTAATATAGCATTTGATAAGACACTCTACCTGCTCCAAGGAGCTCAGGTTGGAGAGGGAAACAGACTTAGAAAGACACCATTAGTGTTCAGTGCAGTCAGGGTTGTGCTACTGTGAGTCTTGGGGGCTGTAGGAGAAAACAAGTAGGAATAAGAGGATGCCTTGTTGCTTCTCACTATCCTGCATGAGCTTTTAGACATGGTTTCCTGTGTCTTGAGCCTGGGGTGCATATAGTCCCCCTTCCTCCATGGCTCAGAGCCCTGGATTCTCCACAGGAGAGGGCCATCCCCATCTCCTATTTGTTCACTCTCAGGCTTTCCAAGGCCTGCTCAGTTTAACTTTCTAGGCAGACAGGAAATGCTTTCATGCAGAGAGAAAGTGCTTTTGATTGGCACTCTCAGAGAGTGGAGAAACATTTCACTGAAAGCCAAACATTCTCCTACCAGCCTTCCCAGTATCCAGGGCAGGAGACCGCCCGAGACCCTGGATACTCTTGCCTGTCTAAGGAAAGCCTCCCCGGCCAAGGCAATGAGGAGTTGCTTAGGCCTCTGCCAGCCAAGTGGCCCCAGCAGCACAGAGTCTTGGACTCCTGTTCTCTTTCTAGGCTGCCTGCCCCACTGGCAGCCACAGAAACAAGGTATCTCAGATTGGGTCCTCCTGAGCCCCTTTCTGCTTCATAAATGGCTAAAGGCTCTTAACTCCCCCGGCTCTGCCAGTAGCTGTGCTCTGCCTCCATCAAACCTGGAACAGACCCACTTGACAAGCAGGCAAGCAAGAAGCAGCGCAGAGCATGCTAATGTGCTCCAACCGAAATAGCATTTTTAAGTCAATTCATCAGGTTGGCAGCGATTGAAACAATTAGCACTCTGGAAAGGGCCATAAACTAGCAGGACTATTAGGGAAGATGCAGTTTACGGGCAGGAACCACCTGATTAGGGATGAAGAATTCTGAGTGGTTTAATTTTAATACTGTCAGAAAGGTTAATATTTAATTACAAATTATAATCTCCTTATCCAAGCTGTCTTCATATGTCTTCATACACAGTGGAAGTAAAAGGAAAGTATCTACTGACTTGCCGGTGTAGAAAGGAGAAGGGGCTTGTTAAAAGACTAATAATGCAAGTAATTTTTTAGTTGGCACATCTAAATGGGAGCCAGATTGACCCCAGTGCAGGATGAGGTTGGCATCCTTCAGTGCATGCCTCACTCAGAAGGAAGTAACACCATCATCCCTTGGAGGCAGCGCACTGTGGTAGACAGAGCTCTGGAGCAATCATTCTTTGCCTCAGGTTCTAGTTCTTCTAGTTTCTACTGGCCCTAGGCAGGTAAACTTTACCCCTTGAAGTTTCAGCCCTCTTGCCTCAAGGTGAAAGCCCTCTAGTCCTGTATCTTAGGTTATGGTGAACATCAAGTGAGATCATAGGAATCACATCTAGCTCAGGATCTAGCAGACAGCAAGTGCCTAATCCTTGACTTGAATTTATTCATCATTTCCTACTTACCACAACACCACCGCATCTATTCTCCTGTTTGATCCTATGAGGAAGATAGCATGGATGCTAAATTAGACCCACTTTTCAGATGAGAAAACTGAGGCCCTACAGCAAGCTCACCTTTTAGGGGAAGAAATAAAACCAGAATCTAGTCTCTCAACTCCCCACTGTGATACTGTTCTCAGTGCTCTAGGAAGCTAGATTGGAAATGTCCCAGTGTGTCCCCATTACACATTGGAAGATGAGAGGCATGAGAAGCCCTGTAAACACAACCATGTATTTTATTTTTAAATCATAGGTGGTGCTTCTATAAAACTCCTACCTGTACTAGCCCTGTGGGTCAGCTCATTACAGAATCTGTGTTTAGCATAGACACTTTATAGCCACATGACAGGTGACGGGCATGTTTGAGACCTGCCTTCAAAATCCAAGAGAGCCCTGGACTTTAAGCTCTGCAACCTGTGTACCCAGGACCCAAAGAGTGATACGTGGAAAGTGTCATTCACAGAGCGCACTGTAAAGTAGACTTTTATCAAACAGAAGCTCCCTTTAATTTGCCTCCCAAGATGGCTGACGAAATGAAATGAGCACTGGCCTGGAGTCTGGTGACATGAATAACTAGGCTCTCTGATCCCTAGTTTCTTCATTTGTAAAGAGACACTGACAACTCCAGATCTTGCTGCTTCACAAGGCATTCTTCGTACATTTATATGATTTCTTTATCAGATCTGTGACTATTTCTCCCAAATTGAGTGGCCCTGTTAACTTTCATTACTGGAGCTAATAAGCCTTGAGAAGGAACCTTAATGGTGTTCTGTGATATCATCATCAGGTAGGGTGATGGAGCCCAGAAGACTTAGTTATAGTGGCAGTATGATGAAGGATAAAGAGCAAGTATCTGAGTCCAGCTGCCTGGGTTCAAATCCCAACTGTACCGTGCTATGTGGAGTTGGCCAGGACCTCTGTTTATATCCGCTTTCTGGGTTCCATAATGGTGCCGTCTCACTGGACTGTTAGGAAGGTTAAATGCGATAGTGATGTAAAATAGTAAACGCCATTCTTGGCACATGGTAAGCAGTCAGTACGTATTGGATGTTACTCTTATTGTTCTTGCCTCACTTTGTTGATAAGCCCAAGGTAAGATCATGTGAAGCAAAATGATGATTGTGGCTCAGAAAATCAAGCCTACAAACTTGCTCGAAATTACATAGCAAATCATTAGAAGAACTAGGGTGAGAATCCAGGTCACTTGACATAAGTAAGCTTGAGAGTCTATGCTCCCTGTGTCCTCAGACATTCACTGGCATCTGGACACAAAGCTCAGAACCCTTCAGGCAAAGACTGTCAAGAACCCAGCTGATTGGCAGAAGGGAAACTATGAGGCAGGATAGCATGATGGCTAAGAGCACAGACTTGGAGCCAGATTGCCAAGCACGGGGGACCTTGAGCAAGTTACTTTAATCTCTGACTTAGTTTTCTCATCGGTAAAGTGGAGGTGATTGTAGTGCTTACCTTATAGACTTGTACATGTTTTAAGCCCTTTATATAAACTTGCTTAACATTGCTAGGCACATAGTAAATACCCTGTAAATATCAGCCGTTATTAATTAGAGACCGACCCATCTTGTGGCTTTCAGGCCATTGCTGTCTCCCAGCTTCCCCATGACCATCCTCCCACCCTTCCTGAAACCTGCAGATCTCTCGGCTGAGTGGCCTAGGGATCCTCTGGAAATGCTTGCTGACTCATGCCCCATGTGCTGATAGCAGTGCTTTCCCCCATGTGGCCTTAATAACTTCTCTAAGCCCTGTCCCACCTCTTGGATTAGGTCCCCAGACCCCTGATGAGGCAGGGAGAGGAGCCAAGAGCCTTGTGTAATGCAGAACAAAACGACAGCTCAAAAAGGGGAGGCAGCATGTCCAAGGTTACACAGGCAGACAGAACTAAGACTGGAAGCCGAGTCCCCTGGCTCCCAGCCCAAGGTTCTTCTTGCTACCCTGTGTCTCAGCTATAGAGTGACAGGACAGAGAAATAATTAAAAATGCATCACGGTGTGAATTTCTGACCAGTGGCCAAGCTAGAATATGGCCCTGGATTTCAGAATAGCTACCTCCCGCTGAGGATCTTGGCACCTCATCATCGCCAGCTCTCAGAGAAGAAGGATTCAGTGAATGCTGTCTCTTAGATGGAAGCATGTGCCAGTAGGAGAGGAGCCCGGGGGACTGTGGGGAATTCTGGTCTGGCTGTGGCTAGACAGGGCACCTGTGGATGCCTTTATAGCTCCCTAATCAGTTAGTGCTTCTTGAAAACCAGCGGGCACTCTGCCTATGTTAACTCTTCAGGTCGCACACTGCAAGCTGTTCTCTTCCCCAGGGGCTAACCATGGTCCTCACCCATGGGGCCACTTTCTCGGAAATCACCCCTACACCCAGTGGTGAAGAGAGAAGGGCTGTAAAGCCATGTTATGGATATTTTTTGAATGAAATGAAAAAATATAAATAAATTTTAAAATATATTCATTTTGAAGAAAAGTAAATCAGAGAGATGGGGCATCACACAGACTTGCAGAGTTGAGGGGCATTCTGGAGCCATCTGAGTGTTTCTGTCTCCCTCACATCACAATCCACACCGATCGTGACTAACTTTGTCCATGTCTGCCCCACTCCATGGGGCATTCCTTAAGGACAGATACCAAGACTTGTTCCCTGTTGTAACTCCGGTGTCCAGCACACACAGGTGCCCTCAGGAAATGTGGAATGGAAGGATGGGTGGGTGGATGATGTGGTAATCAGACCAGGAGAGACCTAGCAGAAAGAAGACACCCCGAGTCAGATTTAGAAGGTCAGGCACATGATTTGGATGTTTTAGGGAAGAGAATGAGGGACTCGTGGGAAGTGAGTGCACAGAAAAGGAGACAGGAAGCCAGAAGAAAAAAAAATCTCTTGAGCGTGAGATAGAAGATCTTATGTTGGTGTGGTCTGAAAGCCTTGGGGATAGTTGAGGTGCTCTCCTCCCTAACCCTTCTCTTCACTCTTCTGCCTCCAAACGGACTTGGTGCTTGCTTGTTTCCACACAGGGCTTCATCAGGCTGGACATGTCCGAGTTCCAGGAGCGACATGAGGTGAATGACAGTCCTTGGTTGAAGCATGGTTTGTCAGCACGACTGCCTGGGTATTTCATGACTTGTCATTTGGGCCTTTGGGCCTCAGATCATTCCAGCAGCCTTGGGATTTGTCATTGGGAGCACAGGTGTGCAGCAGGGTCACCAATCTGTTTCACGTAGGATTTGCTCTAAAGAATAAACATTGAGAAGATCTATCTATCTGCCACACCAGGAGAGGGATAGCCAATTGTCTTTGTTGAGACAGGCAATCTTAACCGTGTATAAAGTCATCTTCCCATGCATGCCCCATGTTGAAAACTTGCACAGAAAGGCCTTCCTAGCATGTTTCCTTCCTTCCACCAGGTGGCCAAGTTTATCGGGTCCCCACCAGGCTACGTCGGCCATGAGGAGGGTGGCCAGCTGACCAAGAAGTTGAGGCAGTGCCCCAATGCTGTGGTGCTCTTTGATGAAGTAGACAAGGCCCATCCAGATGTGCTCACCATCATGCTGCAGCTGTTTGATGAGGTGAGAGTCGCCTTAGGCCAGGATGGAGTAGGGGGACACCTGGAGATATGGGGGGGCTGTGAACAGCAGAAAGCAAGGGCCCAGAGGCTAGCTGGTCTTTCCTTGGCTTCCTGCTCCCACATGCATACGTTCATTCATCCAGCAGATGCAGCTTAGCCCCTCTTCACCAGGGCACTCGAGGGAGGACCAGCCCTGCCTAAGAGTTGAAATTGTGTGGCTGCTCAGGCCACCTTCTAGAGAGACAAGGTATGGCAGAGGTGCCATGAGAGAGACATGAATTTTTTGTTCCAGCTCTGCTCCTGACTGGTTTTGTGGCCTTGGCAAGTCACTGCCCATCTCTAGGCATCAGAGACCTCATGTGACAAACAAGGAGGGTAAATCAGAGAAGCCCCAAGAATCCTTCTGCCTCAGACAGCTTTTGCTCCTCCCTCTGTACCAAACGCTGTCTCCTGCAGTTCTTTAAAATGCTAACATTGTTGCTTTTAATGGTAAGATGCTGATATTCTGGTTCATGGGCCTTTCTCTTCTGAGAATCTGAGGATTCTCACAGACAGTCCAGTTCCCCTGCTGGTAATGGTACGTTCTGAATGGAGAGAGGAACACACTTCTGTCCAGTACCTTCTATGTACTAGACCTGTACTAAAGACTTTATAGACATTATCACTAATCCTCACAGGTAGGTAGAAAAATTCCTACCAGGCAAGGTAGAAATTGTCTCATTTTTTTACAGATGAAGAAACTGAGGTTCAGAAAGGTTATAAAAGATGTGCCTAAGGCCAGAGCTGCTGTGTAAAGAGCCAAGATTGGGCTGCAGATATGTCTGATTCCAGAGCCCCAGTTCTCCCCCATACCACTATTTACCTTCAGCCAGGCAAGGGATTGCGTATGATCGTGGAAAAGATGACTTCCACCTTTCCAGGGCCCTGCTCCATCAAAAGAGCATGAGGAGCCAAGGACTGAACCAGGGCTGAGGCCTCTGTTCTTCCGTGCAGGGGCTATATTAGCCAGCACCAGGCCATGAGTCCAGCTCACCTTTCTACCTAGCCTCCTGCAGCCCTGGGAAAATGGGAAGGTGGTTTACTTCCCATGTCACAGGAACACAGGGAGGAGACTCCTCCAGACTGAACAGCACATCAGGTACCAAGCCAGGAAGACCTAGATCCAGATCTCCTACCAGCTGCTCACTGCCTTTCCCACCTGGCCTAGCCTCCTTGCCCCTGCCCAATTCATTGGTATCTTCCTAGCTCTTCAGCTGCTCCCTCCCACAAACCTCCTGCTGAGGAAGAAGAGGCCAGTCCTTCAGAGGTCACAGACTCAGTTACTCACATGTGTACTGTGTACGCGGAGGCCTCCTTTCCAGCCTCTTGGTGGGATTCAAGTGCACAGTTATGGCCAGACCCAAACATGTCCTCTGGGAGCTCTCTGCCTGGAAGACAGGTGGAAAGGAGACATGGTAGTAGCTGGCATTTTGCATTTTATGTGCCATTCACAGTTTTAAGAGGTTTAAGTGTATCAGTTCAACCCTTTAAACAACCCTCCAAAGGTAGTTATTATTAGAGCCTCCATTGAACAGAGGTGAAAACTGAAGCCAAGTAAGATTAAGTAATTCGCCTGTGATCATGCAGCTGGGAAGAGAGAATCAAGGATTCAAACCCAGGCAACCCAGTTCTAGATCCTGCAGCTTGAATGACTGCCATGCTGCTAGGGCCAAAAAAGCCTGGTCAATCTCAGTGAGGCACTCAAGGGACAGGACAGGACAGCTCAGGGAGGGTGAGCATCGCAGCCTGTTTGATCTCTGGCATCCCTGGAGAGGTACCTCTGATGGCATTCTTGGCCGAGAAAGACGGAAGGCAACTGCTGACTGAAGTAGAAGCAGCCCTGCATGTAAGCCCTCTCTCCCCTACTCCACCACTCCACTCTACTGACTGCCTTTTAGGGGTTGATAGGAATTCCTTCCTGCAGCTGTTGTCACCCCTCTCCCCAGCCCCAGCCTACTATGGTTTCTAATGCTCTTGGTTCCATTGAGCAAAGCTGCCATCTAGGTTCACTTAGATTTATGCTCTTTGAGAACAGGTGCTTGTCGTGTTCACTTGAACCATTCCCAGATCCCACAAAGTCAGGGGAAATGTATTGACTAATTTAATCCAGCAGTAGTTTAGCAAACCTTCAAAGGGCTAGTAAGTACTAAGTGAGCAGAGTGGAGGGGCTGGCAGTAGGAAGCTAATGTGCAGAAGCGCAGGGCGTGAAGCAGCCTGGCATGCTCAGGGAGCTGCAGCTGGTCAGTACTACTCAATTGCAGAAGGAAAGCAAGGACAGAGTGGTAGAGAGGAGGTAGGTAAGGTAGACAGGGCGCAGTTAAAATGCCAGGCACAGAAGTGTGAATTTCTCTAGTAGAGAGTAACGAGTGTTTGAAAGACTTTAAGCAAGAAAGAAACAGTCAGATTTTCACTTTACAGAGATGCTGTGGGCAGCTGTATAGAGAATGGATGAGAAGGGAGAGTTCTCATCCAACAAGGAGACTGCTGGGGAGCCTAAGCTAGAGCTGGGAAGACCATGGGCTGGAGAAGCTTACTAGAAGGTTGACTGAGGAGAGAAGGAGGAGCCAATGGTGGCCAGTTGGCTGCTGTGGCCATCAGCTGAGGTGGGGAACTCAGTGGGAAGCAGCAGATTGGCGAGGAAGGTGAGACACTGGGATATGGAAATGTTGAAGGTGAGATGCCTGAGGGACATCCATGTGGAGATGGCCAAGAGGCCGTTCATCAGTTTCATGGGTCCGGAGTTTGGGAAAGGTCTGACTGAAAATAGTAGTCCAGGAATCCTTCAGCCCAGAGAGGTTAACAGAAGCCGCAGGAATAGATGGGGTCTCTAACCCAGGGAGTGTATAATGTGCGGAGAAAAGAGGACTACACACAGAGCCTTGGGACATATCAGGGAAGAGTCAAAACAGACTCACTAGGTAGGAAGCAAACCAAGCCAGGCATGGTGGGTCACACCTATAATCCCAGCACTCTGGAAGGCCAAAGCAGGCAGATCACTTGAGCTCAGGGGTTCGAGACCAGCTTGGGCAACATGGTGAAACCTTGTCTCTACAAAAAATACAAAAACCAGCTGGGTATAGTGGCATGTGCCTGTAGTCCTCACTACTCAGGAGGCTGAGGTGGGAGGATGGCTTGAGCCTCAGAAGCGGAGGTTGCAGTGAGCAGAGATTGCACCACTGTGCTCCAGCCTGGGCAACAGAGCCAGACCCTATCTCAAAAACAAAAAGGAGCAAACCGAAAGAATGTGGCTCATTTGTTTATTCATGAGGCACTGTGTGGGGCAGGGGGACACTGACAAAAGAGACGCAGCCCTGGCCTCACTATGACTAATGAGTGGGAGATGGGCCTCTAAAAAGCAGTTCAGTCCACTGTGGTCGGTGTTGTACTAGGGACGAGCAGCACTTATAGGGGCACCTAATTTAGGCTGGAGCTGTGAGGGAAGCACCCTCATCCCCACCCAGTCTAGTTTTCCCAAGCCTGGGCCCAGAAAAGCAAGAATCCTATTGCTCTCATCAAAGCAGGACTAATGCTGGCCACTTACAGGTGACCCCAGGGCAGAAGTCCCAGGAAAAGACTAGTCCCCAGAGAGCCCAGCCCCCACTCCTCCCATCAAGGATTCATATGTGAGATAGTGGCAGAGCAGCCCTGTAACCCAGGGGTAAGCATTCAGGCCCCACCCAGGATGTGCATGCTTTGGTTGTTAGAGGGAGGTGAGGCACAGACAGCTCCCTCTTTGGGATACATCTTTATTGCCAAGGAAACTGAGGGGAAGGAGACATGAGCACTGAAAATCACCCTTTGGGTCAGTTGTGCACTGCACCTGCTCCCCTCACCCACCTGGGACCCATCCTCAGGCCCAGTTATGAGCAGAGCTTTGATCTCTTAGAATGAAATTGCTGCTGGGTTATTGTTCTGGCCAGTATAGCAATGTGTGAACTCAGTCCTTGGGGATAAGCTCTGCAAAGTGAGTATGGAACACACACACACTGTCATATGCGTTACAGTGTCATACATGTTGGACATGTCTCTCACACACACACCCCTGGTGCCTAAAACTAGAACTGCCTTCAGTGGATTCTGTTGGATTAGAACCCATAAGCAGAGGATGAGAGTGAAAAGCTGCTGGTAAAAGCTCAAGGACATCCACTTGCACCCTTGTTTCCCCTCTTCCTGCCTCAAGGCAGGGACCACAGAGTGACCAGCTCCAGGACGTGGATCACCAGGCCCCTTGGGAATTAACAGTTTCTCAGAGGCCTGTCAGTGGAAAGCAAGGCTGGAAAGCACACCCAGGATGCAGTAAGTGCTCAGTTGATGCACAGTCCTTTCTCCTTTGCTCCTAAAGGGCAAGACTGGGTTTACCATAACACTGGCTTTAGAAGCAAGGGCTGACCCTGAAGCTCAGGCAGGGCCAGCATCCCTGGCTCAGGCAGAAGCCAACAGGCTGAGGTCAGTGATGTATCCCCAGAGCAGTGGTTTCTGGCTTGGCAGGAGCTGTGCTTTCTCTGCTCCCCAGAAGAAATCTCAGGCAGATCTCCTCCCTAGCATCTGTCCCAATTGCATCTCTCCAGTGAAGATCAAAGGATACAAACTGAATTGGGCAAAATTCTGAGAATTTCTGTTGAAGGAAAGAAAATAGCATGAGGCCTCATTCATCCAGCACCATTGGTGTGACCTCTGTAGCCTGGTGCAGAGGGAAGGGCATGGACTCTGAGGTCAGACAATTCAAGTCTCACCTCTACTATATCCTAGCTGTGAAACCTCAAACAAGTACTGAACCTATCTGAGCCTCAGCTTTTTTCTAGGGGTCCTAACTGCACCTACCTCCAAGGGTGGATGTGAAGATTCCGGCCTCCAGCAAGCAGGTGTCAATCACCTACTCTATATCAGACACTGTTCTGGGACACAGTGATGAACAAGACCCAGCCTCTGCCATCAGGGAGCCACTTACCTAGAAAGGAGTGGAATTGTACACACAAAGCACTAAGCAGAGCATCTGTGATGAAAGTAGAAGTCCCTGTCTGTGTTCAGCATTGTCACTCTGTCACTTGCTCTCAAGGAGTTCCTGATCATTGCTTTTGTTATCAATGATATAAAGTGCTATTGTACGATCATGCCCTTGAGGTTCACTGAGTGAGAGGGGCTCTGTACCCTTCAACTGATTGTCCCCAGAACGCTGTACTTTTATCGATCTTCTGTCTCTGCCCTCTGCTATTTGCTCCTTTTCTCTCTTTGGTGCATCTTTCTCCTGTTTAGATATCTCCTGTATCCCTTCTAGAAAGAGCTGAGGATTCCAAGGAAACACCCAAAGTGGTTAAAGAAGCAACCTCATTTTTTATCCTCTGTTAGGCCAGATGGCAGCTCCAAAGATAAGAGATTGTCCTGTTTCAATTCATTATATATCATCTACTACAGTAATAATAGCTCTGAACATTCTTACAGCATGGTTTACTAAGAATTTTGCAGATAACCACATCTGTTCCTCACAGTAGCTCTGTAAAGCACCCTCCTCTGAATTCCTACAGCATCCTGTGCTTCCCTTTATCATTATACTTAATATTGGAAGGTTATTGCTTGTTTCCTGTATCTCACTGCTTCTCTATACTGGGCGAATAGAGCCTAAGTTGAAGGCTTATTGAGACCCCAGTACCCCCACCACAGAGCCTGGCCCAGAATGGGCCTCCAAAAAATGTGTTGGTTGCACAAATGGATGTTTAACTCTGACTTCTGGATGCCAAGGATAGTGGGGTTCCCCAAGAGATACCAGAGAGTAAGTGCAGCCTTACCTGGAGGCACTCAGCAGTTAGACAGTAGCAGCCCAGGGCAGCAAGCACAGCAGCCAAGGGGCTAGTCCAGTGCTTAGAGAACCAAGAGGAGGGAGCAGCTGACCGCCGGGGCTGGAGGGAAACGGCTCTGTAGAGGCCTCCTGAAGGAGGTGAGAACTGAGAGTACTGAGGCCTACCCAGGCTCACAGCTTCCTGACTATATCTTTCCCTTCCCTTCCCAGGGCCGACTGACAGATGGAAAAGGGAAGACCATTGATTGCAAGGACGCCATCTTCATCATGACCTCCAATGTGGCCAGCGATGAGATCGCACAGCACGCGCTGCAGCTGAGGCAGGAAGCTTTAGAGATGAGCCGTAACCGTATTGCCGAAAACCTGGGTATGGTGGCTGACCTGAGCAGTCTGGGCCGGTGGCCGGGCCACCAGCCTATCTCCTAGGGAAGGATGGGACTGGGGCCATGGGCCCAGGTACAGGTGCTAGTGGGCAGCTCTGTCCCTAGCTGACACTGAGCAGACACCAGGCAAGACACCAAGTAGTGGAGGTTGAGGGAGAAACAGACAAAAGAGACAGTGCCCCTACTTCTTTAAGAAAGCCTCAAGTCTGTTGGGTGATAAGAGGGATCCAGGCATGAATGGACAGAGCTACACCAGGGTGGGAGGCCAGAAGCTGCCCAGGGTCTTAGGGGACTGAGGAGAGACGCACACGCAATAGATAGAGATGCTTTGGTGCAAGGAGGGAACACCAGATCAAAAACTCCATGGCAGTGGACACAGCCTTGTTCACCCAGGGCAGCTTCCTGCGTAGGTGGGCCCTCGAGAGTGCTGAAAAAAATGAGCACATCCAGCAGGAAGTCGTGTCTGTCACCTTTTCCATTCAAGATCAAGCCCTGCAGGCCCCTTTCTCCAAGTCAGGACTCAGGTCTTAATCCTGACGCTTCCTCTCCTCTCCTCTCCCTCCTTCACACAACTCTCACCCTAAGGAACCAGAGGCTTTGTACATAGGAGAGCTGCAAGGGCCTCAGAAAGTGCCTGGTCAGAGAAGACCAGGCTGAATCCCAGAGAGCCTGTGACTCTGGCCATGACCATACAGGCAGGCAGGACTAGGGTGCTTTCCATGGGCAGGCCAATGGGCAGGCACAGCCCCACAGGTCCCTGAGTGTGGGTAGTAAGCAGTTTATGATTCCATTTCCACAGGAGATGTCCAGATAAGTGACAAGATCACCATCTCAAAGAACTTCAAGGAGAATGTGATTCGCCCTATCCTGAAAGTAAGAGGTCTTTCTTGGCACTTCCCTGCTGGAGCCTAAGGTTGTGGGAGGGTGATCTTAGCCATCCTAAAGATCTGGAAGTCCCATAATTTCCCCAGTCGTCCCCCTGTGTCTGGTAATTTTCCTAACCCCTCTGGGTCACTGAGCTTATCCCACCCCTAACCTGGTTATGCAGGCTCACTTCCGGAGGGATGAGTTTCTGGGACGAATCAATGAGATCGTCTACTTCCTCCCCTTCTGCCACTCAGAGCTCATCCAACTCGTCAACAAGGAACTAAACTTCTGGGCCAAGAGAGTAAGAGGGGACTACCCATGGGTGGGGGCAGGATAGCCAGCTACTGGAAATCTGCAACACTGGACTGGGGGCACCCACATACACACAGAGGGTAGAGCACAGTGGCATGGGGCCAGTGGCCCTGGCCTCAGGTCAGAGTGGCAAGAGGTGGAAAGCAGTGGGCCACATGCAGGCACGCTATTATCTGACCCAACTCAGGCCAAGCAAAGACACAACATTACGCTGCTCTGGGACCGCGAGGTGGCAGACGTGCTGGTCGATGGCTACAACGTGCACTATGGCGCCCGCTCCATCAAACATGAGGTGAGCACAAGGAGCCTGAGAAATGAGGCGCCTCCACAGCCCCCTTCCCTGGGCCCCCCAGACCCAGTCTGCCTCCCTCAGTTTGAGCGGTGCCCATTCATAACCATAAACACATGATCACCAAGTAAAACCCCTGCTGGAGGGTAGCCAAATATGAACCCCCCTAGGACTGTGGGACTGGGCTGGGAGCCTCAGAAACAGCACAGTCCTGCACGCTAGCTGTTATTAGCACCTGTTGGCAAATGAGAAAACTGAGTCTCAGGCCCAAAGGAGGTCTCTGAGTTGCCCTAGCAGTAAGTGATGGAGGCCAGCCTCCAGGCTGGGTCCAGGCTGCAGTGGTTACCACCACTTCACCTCCCCACTCGCAGGTAGAGCGCCGTGTGGTGAACCAGCTGGCAGCAGCCTATGAGCAGGACCTGCTACCAGGGGGCTGCACTCTGCGCATCACAGTGGAGGACTCAGACAAGCAGCTACTCAAGAGCCCAGAACTGCCCTCACCCCAGGCCGAGAAGCGCCTCCCCAAGCTGCGGCTGGAGATCATCGACAAGGACAGCAAGACTCGCAAACTGGACATCCGGGCACCACTGCACCCTGAAAAGGTGTGCAACATCATCTAGCAGCCACCTGCCTACCTATATGCACCCTCACCATCCAATAAAAGCCCCTCGGCTGTGGCATGGTGACTCACCTATCTTCCCCTCATGCCTTTCCCATCTTTACCCAGCCTAAGGCCTGCTTACCTCCTCACAGCCCCTGAAGACCCTTCCTCAGTCCCAAAACCTGAAGGAGGAATTTTGCCCTACTCTGGCCCCTTTGTTTTGGGCCCATAACCTGCTAACAAGCCTTCAGGAGAGGAGCTGCCTTTCACCCCTTCAAGGCAAGGGGGAGGGAGGTCCCTTATTTCCTTCAGAATGCTCCCCATCCCCCATAGTTGCTGGACTCTCTCATGTTCCCAGGAAGCTCAGAAGTATGGCAGCTAAAAACACAGCTGGCTGGAAGAAGACAGGGACCAGACTGTGAACTGCCACCCTCTGGCAGCCCTCATGCAACTCAGTCCCCAGAATGGCTTCACTGGTAGTGGAGGAAGAGTTCGGAGGCCCAGGTGCAGATGGGTCTGCAATTTAGTCTGTAGCCTCCTCGTTCCATACCCTAAAATTCTAAGGGAAGGGACCCATAGAACCTTGCCTGTTTGCACTACTGTATTATGCCCACTGTTCCTCCCCACCCCATGTCCTGGGGTCAGGCCAGACCATGTTTCTTCAGCCTTGGGGACTAGGCCAGTGTTGGACACCTCTAGGAGGAGGCCTGACTGGTTCATTACCCTCACCTACTCAAACTGAGCAGCAGTCCCAGATAACCAAGGAAGCTCAGCTCTGCAGGGCCTCCTTCAAAAGACTAACATCGCAGACATTAGGAAGCTGTAGGGAGAGAGACCATAGGTTTAACCTCTGCCCATGTGGCCATGGAGTTGTCCTCAGCCCTGTCTGTACTGCTTTTCTAAATGAGCCTGGAATAAACATGCAGTTTATTCAGTCTGCATGTTAGTCACTAAGCAGAGGGTCTGGACACCATCCCCCAGGGGCATTTCACAGACCAGCCAATGTTTCAAGCCCACCTTAGCCAGGCACAGTAAGGCTTGGTGCATCCTTGGGCACCATCTGCAGTAAGCACCGCTGATAAGCACTCCATCCACCTTCCCGCTGCAGGCCCTTTGTGGAATCCTCAGGAAGTGTGTCCTTAGCTAGTCTCTTTTAGGAAGCAGAGAATGGGGCCAGGAATCAAACTCTCATAGGTAATGGAAGCATGTCCTAATGGTATGATGGATATGAGGCAGTCAGAATCCAGGGTGTGGGCTCCAGAAGATGCTTGGATCACTGTCTACCCCTGAGGGCCTGTTGCTCCCTACCTCAGTGACTGCTTTTCTTTTCATTGTTTTTTTACTTTTTGTTTAGAAATAATTTTAGACTTACAGAAAGTAGCAGAAATAGTAGAAAATTCCCATGTACTTTTCATCTAGCTTCTCCCAATGGTAACCTCTTACAAAGCCATACTATAGCTTATCAAAACCAGGAAATTGCCGTGTGTGATGGCTTATCCCTGTAATCCCAGCACTTTAAGACGCCGAGGCCGGTGGATCACCTGATATCAGGAGTTCGAGACCAGCCTGGCCAACATGGTGAAACCCTGTCTCTACTAAAAATACAAAAATTAGCCGGGCATGTTGGTGGGTGCCTGTAACTCCAGCTACTCAGGAGGCTGAGGCGGGAGAATCACTTGAACCTGGGAGTTGGAGATTGCAGTGAGCTAGATCACGCCACTGCACTCCAGCCTGGGCGACAAAGTGAGACTCCTTCTCAAAAACCAAAACCAGGAAGTTAACATTGATAAACTACTACTAACTAATCTATGGACATTCAAATTTTGCCAGTTTTCCCCTTGATGTCCTTTTTCTGGTCCAGGATCCCACATTGCATTTCGTTGTTGTGTTTCCTTCATCTGTCAGCCTGTGACAGTTTCTCCATTTTTCTTTGTCTTTTATGACCTTGCCACTTTGGAAGAGTCCAGGCCAGTTACTTCATAGAATATTCCCCAATTTGAGTTTGTCTAATGTTTTTACATGATGTAATTGAGGGTCTGCATTTTTGGCAAGACAACCGCAGAAGTGATATTGTGCCCTTCGTAGTGCCTCCCAGGAAAGGGTGGTGGTAACTTTTTGTTTGTTTTGGGGTTTTGAGACGGAATCCCACTCTGTTGCCCAGGCTGGAGTGCAGTGGTGCAATCTCAGCTCACTGCAACCGCCACCTCCAGGGTTCAAGTGATTCTCCTGCCTCAGCCTGCTGAGTAGCTGGGATTACAGGTGCCCACCACCACACCCAGCTAATTTTTGTATTTGTAATAGAGACAGGGTTTAGCCATGTTGGCCAGGCTGGTCTCTAACTCCTGACCTCAGGTGATCCACCCACCTTTGCCTCCCAAAGTGCTGGGATTACAGGTGTAAGCCACCATGCCCAGCCTAGGTGGTGGTAATTTTGATCACATGGCTAAGGTGGTATGTGCCAGGTTTCTCCACTATAAAATTAGGAATTTTCTCTTTGAAATTAATAAGAATCTTCTGGGGAGATACTTTGAAGCTGTGTGAATGTCTCATTTATCGTTAAAATTTTGCCTGCTGATTTTCGTTTCCGTCATCAATGATTCTTGCTTATCACAGATATTGATGTTGCGCTTGCCTAATGGTGACTTTATTTCCTTATTTTACCTGTATTTATTAATTGGTATTCCACTATAAAGAAGAGCTGTCCCTTCTCCTCATTTATTTATTTGATAATTTATATCAGTATGAATGAATGGTACCTGTTTTATTCTACAGGTTATAATCTAATGCTAACATAGTTTATTTTGTTGCTCAAATCGGCTCAGATTTGGCCAGTGAGAACTCATTCAGTAATGAGTACTCATTGGCACCTGTGTTGTTTCAACATTGCCCCATCACTTTTCAAGCATTTTCTGGCACCACAAGATGTTTCAGGCTTACTCCTCTTTTCCCTGTCTCAGCCCTGATATCTGTCATTTCTCTAAGAAGCTCCCAGTTCCTTTTATTCGAGAAAAAAGGAACTTAGAAACCAAGTAGTTTCTTGGTACCATTTAAAACAAAGTCTGGAAACCAAGATCTGGACACAGTATATATTCCTGGCTAGAGTCTCATTGCTGGAGTGTCATTGCTTATAGACCATTTCAACCCACAAAGCTGGAAAACATATATGTATGTATGTTAAAACATGCAAATACATATACCTGAATTTATTATTCTATCCATCTGTATGTTATTAAAAACCATGAGCCAGGTACAGTGGCTCATGACTATAATCTCAGCATTTTGGGAGGCCAAGGTGGGAGGATCACTTGAGCCCAGGAGTTCAAGACCAGCCTGGGCATCATTCCAAGACCTCATCCTCCAAAACTTAAAAAAAAAAAAAATGTAGCCAGGCATGGCGGCACATTTCTGTAGTCCTAGCTACTTAGGAGGCTGAGGCAGGAGGATTGCTTGAGTTCAGGATGTCAAGGCTGTAATGAGCTGTGATTGTACCACTGCACTGCAGCCTGAGTGACAGAGCAAGACCCTGTCTCATATTTTTAAAAATAAATAAAAACCATGAGTTTAGATATGGTTTTAATCTAATACTCTAGGGTTTGTGACTGCCATTTGTATAAACTTACTATTCTTTTCTGCTTTTTCTTCTGCTATCTCTGTTTCTGCTCCTTTCTTTCTTTTTGATGTTCAGACATCCCATAGAGGCTCTAGTTAAGTCAGCCAGTGACCATCCTGTGTGCAGTATTCCTACTCGATAGATGTCTTATGCCCGGCTCTCAGTCTGTTGGTTCAGTTAACTGTGGCCAGGAACACTAGGCAGATAACTCAAAATCAGATCACTTTTTTTTTCCTTTTTTTTTTTTTATTGTTTTTCTTTTTTTTTATTATTTTGGTTTTTTTTATTATTTTTTTTCTCTTTAATCAGATCACTTTTATACAAGAAAACCAAATAGCCACCTTCTTAAGAATAGAATAAGGAGACAGGGTAGAACCTTAGTCTAAGGAAACCAATTAAGAACCACTTCTTCCAGAGATTCTCTGCCAGACCTCCTAGGTGGTGATGGCCCATATCTTTTCCACAGCATCCTAGGCAATGCTCAGCTCACTGTGCTACCTGTTCTAAGTCTTCATCACTAGAATGTAAGCTCGAAGAGGGTGGATACCCAACTGTTCAGCCATTCATAGAACCTGCCACAGTGCTCGCACATGACAAATGCTCCAGGAATATTTGGGTGTGTGGATGGGATCTGCAGCAAGCACAGATCTCACTTGGCCCTGGAACAGAAAAGTATTGTTTGTTTTCTCCTCACGTTTCTATTTGTCATATCATTGTGGCCAGGCAGTGGGACCCACCAGGATTGGAGCTCTGAGAAAATGCAGCAAGGTAAGACCCAGATTTCTTTTTTTTTTTTAAACAGAGTCTTGCTCTGTAACCCAGGCTGGAGTGTGGTTTTGCCATGTCGGCTCACTGCAACTTCCACCTCTGGTTCAAGTGGTTCTCATGCCTCAGCCTCCAAGTAGCTGGGACTATTGGCATGCGCCACCACTCCCACCTAATTTTTTGTTGTTGTACTTTTAGTAGAGATGGGGTTTTACCATGTTTGCCAGGCTAGTCCCAAATTCCTGGTCTCAAATGATCTACTCGCCTTGGCCTCCCAAAAGCCGAGATTATAGGCATGAACCACTGTACCCAGCCCCAGATTCCCTATTAAGGATCCTAGAATATATGAGACCGGGCTTGGAAATGAAAGTGCAACACATTTATTATTCAAAAGGAAAAACTCAAAGGCATGAAGTGATTTTTAAATTTAGAGAAATTCCTCAGTATAGTAAAAGAAGAAAAGGAAATATAGGAGAAAAACACATTTAAACCGTTAAAAAAAAGAAAATGGGCCAATAAAGATAAAAGCTAAAGTTAACACGGTAGAAAAAAAAAATAAATTAAAAAACAATTCTTTGAAAGCACCAATAAAATAGATAAAACATCCTGAGCCTGATAAAAGGTGAACGGAGCCAAAAAAGAACAAACTTAGGAATGAGAAATTAGACATAACCATATAAAGGAATTGAGAATAATAATAGAACTCTATGGAAACAAAATTTGAAATCAGAGCAAATGGATAATTTCCCAGCAAACACTGATCCTAGACGTAGTTTTAATAGGCCAATTGATTACCCAAGAAGAAATTGGAAAGGTGATTAAAATTTTATCTTTTTTCAGCACCATAAGACAGGGTGAAAAATATATAAAATTTTATCCTTGAAAAGATTGTTGGCCAGGTGTGGTGGCTCACACCTGTAATCCTAGCACTTTGGGAGGCCAAGGTGGGCAGATCACTTGAGCCCAGGAGTTTAAGACCAGCCTGGGCAACATGGCAAGATCCCACATCTACTAAAAATACCCAAATTAGCCACCTGTGCTGGTGCATGCCTGCAGTCACAGCTACTTGGGAGGCTGAGGTGGGGAAGACTGTTGAAGCCCAGGAAGCCCAGGTTGCCGCGAACCAAGATTGCACCACTGCACTCCAGCCTGGGTGACAGTGAGACTGTCCCAAAAACAAATAAAAAATAAAAGTTTGTGTTTTTAAACTTTTTAATTAAAAAACATGGGAAATTGTACAGATCACATGTATGCAGCTCAGTGAATGATTACAAAGTAAACACTCTCCTGTAGCCATCACTCAACCCCCAAAATAGATGAGTTTTAACTATTATCTAAGCTACCATTGTACTCAAACGCAGTAAAATGCCAGAAAGAATGCTACAGCCTAATCTCACCTATGACCATAGATGCAAAATTAAGTTGAATTGTACACTCTGATTACATAAGCTTTATTTTAGCAATACAAGGCTCAGTGTCAGGAAATTTAATTTATTACATCAAGAACTTAAATGTTATTTAAATGTCTAGAGTGATAGTATTTTAAATTTTCTTATTTTGATAATTATGATTATGGAAGAGAATGTCCTTGTTTTTAGAAAATGTAAGTATTTAGAAGTTAAAGGTAAACCTCTAATTTGATTTGCCAGCATTTCAGAAAACCACACACACACAGAGAGAGAATGATAAAGCAAAAAGTAAGGTGTTGGCTGGGCACGGTGGCTCACACCTGTGATTCCAACACTTTGGGATGCCCAGGCAGGTATATCACCTAGGTCAAGAGTTTGAGACCATCCTGGCTAACATAGTGAAACCCCTCTTTACTGAAAATATAAACATTAGCCAGGCATGGTGGCACATGCCTATAATCCCAGCTATTTGGGAGGCTGAGGCACGAGAATTCATTGAACCTGGAGGCAGATGTTACAGGAAGCCTGAGTGAGACTGTCTCAGAAACAAACAAACAAATGTTAATATTTGGGAAATCTGAGGGAACAATGTACATGAATTCTTTGTATTATTTTTACAACTTTTCTCTAAGTTTAGAGTTATTTCAGGCCAGGCATGATAGTGCATGCCTGTATTCCCAGCTACTTGACGCTGAGGTGGGAAGATTCCTTGAGCCTAGGAGTTTGAGGTTATAGTGAGCTATGATCATGCCACTGCATTCCAGGCTGCCACCCTATCTCCAAAAAAAAAAAAAAAAAAAGGTACAGTAGCTCACACCTGTAATCCCAACACTGAGGAGCCAAGCCAAGTGGATCGGTTGAGCCCAGGAATTCAAGACCAGCCTGAGAAACATGGTGAAACCCCATCTCAGCAAAAAATTAGTTGGATATCGTGGCATGCACCAGTAGTCTCAGCTGCTTGGGAGGCTGAGGTGGGATTATCACTTGAGCTTGGGAGGCAGAGGTTGCTGTGAGATAAGATCATGCCACTGCACTCCAGCCTGAGCAACAGAGCAAGACCCTGTCTAAAAATGGGGGGGGGGGGCTATAGTAAAAGCCCATTAGCATTAATAAGAAAATTGGGTATCTGAATAAAAGATAGCTGCACAAAAATCCATTGTTTTCGGTATTCTAGCAATAATCAACTAGAAACAGTAACAAAAGAAAAACATTCCATTTACAATTACAGCAAGTAGGTACACGTATTTGCTCATATATATATATAACCTACTTCTGTAAGGGAGCAGAACTGGGCAATTCAGGGAGAGCAATGGAAGGGAAACATTGATATGTTATTTTAAATACTTTTTAGTATGTTTTGAACCATATTAATGTATTACCTGTTCAAAATAAATTTAACAAGAAAACCATATTAAAGGGCATAAAAATAAGATCTGACAAATGAAAAAACATACCAAATTTTAGAAAGGGTGATTTAATAATATTAAAATATACAATCTTAATATGTAATTTAATATAAAACCTAATAACTAATTTAATACAAATCTAATTGACAGCACTTTTAGTTGAATAAAGTTAAGGTCATATTGCACTACTATTTCCAGAGGTGATGCTATATGCAGTTACTGTTTTCTGGGTCTAGGCTCTCAGGAAATAGACATTACTACTTTTGCAGTTCCGTCTTGACAGTATGCAAAAATTAGGGAAAATGTAAATTTACCATTAACACACACCCTAAATGCAATTATGAGAAAGAGAAGGGTTGTTGCCTGTGGCTGGAGTATGAGTGTGGAGAAGAGAGGAAATTGGTAGAAAATGAAACTACAGAGAGGCAAGGTTCCTGATTTCAAAGTGCCTTGAATGCCATGCTAAGGGAAGGAAATGACCAGATTTGTGGTGGGTTTTGTTTTTGTTTGTTATTGTTTTTGTT